CATCTCTTCCAGACAAGCTCCAGCTACACTCAGATTTGAAGCTTTCCAAATAGGCCAAGCATCCTTATCCCATCATGCTTTTGCTAATGCTGATCTTTTTGCCTGAAACGCCTAGAAGACGGGGCCCCACCCCCTGCCCCCATCTTCACCACCCCACCCAACTTCTCAGCCTGGCAAACGCCTATAATCAAGTCACAGGTCAAATGCCATCTCCTCTGCAAAATCTTTCCTGAACTTCCTGAGCAGAATTAATCCACCTCTGGATACACAGCCTATAGAAGTGACACAGCACTGCTCTCTCTACATTGCGATTTTGAATTCCCCTCTGCTTCCTTGTTAAAATGTGACATGTATGTATTCATGGTGCTCTAGGAACAGTAAGCACTTTGTAAACATTTGTTGAGCGAGTGAAGTGGGAGTGTAGGCTGGACTACAAGCAAATTCTGCTAGAATGTAAAAGAAGAGATTATTACCTGCAGAGTGAAGGAGGTTGGAAATGAAAAAACAAAAAACAAAGCAAAACAAAGGAAGAACCTTATTGTGGTTTAGCAGTCTTTGTGTTTCCCCTTGATTTCCTGGGCAATGTTCTACATTTTCCAGGCTCACCTACATCGACTGGGACATGGGACATGGGACACGGGACTTGAGGCCCCCAAGACCTCCAGGACAGGCTCCATTCTCTTCCCACAGCCGTGGATGCAGAAGGGCCAGCAGGCCCTGAGGCTCTAGAAAATGGTGGGAGCTCTAGCTGGGAGGGAGCTTGGGTCCCTGCAGGTTAGAGTGTCTGCAAACAGCTATGCGGGCTGTAACAAGAGGGGGAAAGAAGGCTTCTGTTAAGGCAGTGAGATGTGGGGGGCGGTTATTACTGCATGAACTCCCTGCACTGAAATACTCGCAGCTATAATACCGAACGTTCTATACCCAAGATATTCCACTTCTCACTGCTCAGTGTACAGCCTGTCTGCTAAATCACAGGCAGCACCCTCAGGATGCTAATAATTGTGGAAGGGATTCAGATGCAATCTCCGATAGAACTACACAGATATTTGGGGAAAGGAATGAAGTTCTGGCATCGCAGGGTAAGAGTCCCAATCCCCTGGCCCCGACAAACCGAACAAGCCCAAACCTGGCCACCTCGCCCCTAAGCTACCGCCTTCTCCCTGCTCCACTCAAAGCCAAGCCGTAGGACTCTGTTCCATGTGGTCCTTACTGCCTGCGCATCAGGCTTCCAAGTGCCCTCCCTGCTGCGCACCCCACTCCCCCACCGCCACGGCTCCACTGAGCCCGCCACTACCCTCCGAGCCACAACACCCATCTTTCTTCAGTTGTCCTCTCCTCAGCTCCTGACGAGTGACTCCTTCCTCTTTGAATTCTTCTTGAATTCTATGCCACGGTACGTACTCATCTCCAGCTCCCTAAATCCATATTCTGTAAGGTCGTGTTCCTGCTCCCTGCCCCCCCCCCCCCTATTTTCTTTGTTTGCACTGAGTTGTCATCTTTGGTGTCTTTCTAGAATTGATCTTCCCATTCCAGGTGGGCAACTCCCCATTTCATTTGCATCTCATTTTTCTACCTCTTTCCTGTGACAACCTCATCCGTGTTCATGACTCCCATCCATGCCCTGGTCTCTTTACAGCTGCCTTCCAGACTTTTCCACCGCACAGCCTGCGATACCTCAAATTCCGTAGCCCCCAACCACCAAACTCATCACCTAGTCTCTCCATGGCTTTCTTTACTTCTCAGAAGAGCATTGCCACCCTCTCATTCACTGGGTTCCAAGTCATCTTGGACTCTACCTTCCCTTCCCCCCACATTCAATCAGTAATCTGCCCCTTCATCACTTCTTGCCTAGAATATTATTAAAAGCTTATCTCTAACATTCTAGATCTGTCAGGGTCCAGTCAGAAAAACAGAGACCACACTAGGCTTTTTGTTTTGTTTTGTGTTTTTTAACAGAGAGAAAATAATAGAGGGAATTGACGAAGCAGGTGCTAATCTTTTTCAAAAAGTAAAGAGAAGCACACTGATTTAGCACAGAGATGGCACCTGCGGGGAAGCAGCCCCGACAAACAAAGAGGAGATAGGAGCGCCCTAATTCAGATGCCTCCAGGCCAGGTATCTCAGGGCTATGAGCCAGACCTCCCAGCAGACAGCCCTATCTGGGTCCTGCTGGGGATTCTAAGGGACAACAATGGAGGTGGTTTGGGGAACGCAGGAGAAAAGCTAGACAGATTCCAAGTGTCACCATCAGGGTGAAGGGCCACTGCAGGAACAACACTGAGAGGACTTGCTGCTAAGAAGGGTGGAAGTCTCTTCTCCCCTCCTCCTCTACTGGCCGAACTTAATGGAAAATCAGCTGACAAGGAAAACTGTAGTTTTGAGAATCGTAGTCCCCAAACACAGAACACAGAGTATGGAAGGGTGAATATGGCACATTTCCTTACCTCTAGTCAATTTTCCAAAGATTCCTGAATTAATAGCATTTATCGAGCATTTATTATGTGCCAAGTAGAATTCTAAGCACTTTCTAGGTTATTAACACATTTAATCCTCATCACAATATTTGGAGGTATCTACTATTATTATCCACATGATACAAATGAGGAAACTAGAGCATTATAGAGGTAAGTCATTTGTTCAGGGGTAAAAGACACTTATAATTGGCAGATCCAAGGACTCAAACCCAGGATGCCTAGCTATAAAACACCGACTCTCAAACTTTTTTTTTCTTAAAACTCTCCCACGAACGTATGCCTGAGGAAAAGCCACAATGGAACGGTGGGGTAAGAGTCCTTATGTAAATGATTCCCAAACGGTATCATGTAAATGTAAGAATCATTTGGGGAACCTGATAAAAACTGAGATTCCAAGACTCACTCCTCAGACCTCTAGAAAGTCTGAGAAGAGCAATCTGAATTTTATTTTTTTAAAGATTTTATTTGTCAGACAAGCAGGGAGAGTGGCAGGCAGAGGAAGAAGCAGGCTCCCTGCTGAGCAGGGAGCCCGACACAGGGCTTGATCCCAGGACCCCGGGATCATGACCTGAGCTGATCATGACCTGAGCCGAAGGCAGCCGCTTAACCAAATGAGCCACCCAGGCATCCTAGGAATTTGAATTTTAAACAAGTGATCCCCAGACACCACCCCCATCATTATCCCAGGCCTGTTATTCTGATGTAAATGGTCTGTGGACCCCAATTTGAGAGTAATTACTTGGCAGGGGTTGGTGAGAGCAGACAAGAGGATATAAGAGGACTTTTTACTGACAAGTGAGTAAAGAAATAGCTCCTTATTGCTCACTTAAATACAGCTCCTTAGCTTAACATTCAAGGCTCCTGGAGATCTAGTCCCAATCAACAGTCCAATTTACTGACCATGCTCCCCACTTTAAACACCCTATAGACCCAGCCTGTCATGGTTCTAACTACACTTCAGACTCTCCCATTGTCCTCACTTGTAGAGTTCTCTCCATGAGAATGCCTTTCACTTCCAACTCCGTATTTCCAAACTAAGTATCATTGAAAGACCCTTTCTAATGCCTTATCGTCCATAAACACTTGATCACATCCACTGAGGCTCTCTCCAACCTCTAAACTCTAACAATATTTTATTTGTACCCCTCTTATGGCTTTTAATATTTTCGACATTATACTATAGGCTCATTTATCTTAGCTTTCCCTCTAGACTGCAAGCTCTGTGATTAGTGTGCCCAATTAAATGTTTTATGGCCTGAAAGACCTATCATGGTGTTCAATAAATATCTATGGAATAATTTAAATTAATGAAATGTGCTTTCCTTATTACATGTCAATTAGAAGTGCTGGAATATAGTCGTTTGGAAGGTGTGAGGTGGGGTATTTGAATTTTAAACAAGTGAGCCCCTGTCCCATCCCTGTAATTCTGATTAAATGGTGTATGGACCACAATTTGAGAATACATACTTGGTACAAGAGTCCGAAGAGAGAGAAAGGGAAAGAATATAGCTTGAGAAAGTCCTTCTGTCCCCTAGTAGAGAATCAGTCTTCAAACAATTACGATCACATCACATCCTGCTTAAAAACCATTCATTCATTCAACGAATTTAAATGTTTACTGAACACATAGAGTGCATTGGACAGTATTCAAGGTGACCAGCACTCCTAGAGCTGCAACCGCATTTAGTGTCTAAGTGACCTTGGAGAAGACAGGAACTTCTTTAGGCTTTAGTTTCCTTATTTGCAAAGGCTCTGTAGAGGAAAGAATGGATCCTTGAAAAACTGAAAGGTCAATGTGGTTCCAGTACAAAGCGTGGTCCAGAGTAAGACTGGTAAACAAAATAAGGTTATATTATTCAAGGCCTTGGAGGTCATGATGAGAATTTTAGCCTTTACCCCAAGAGCGACGGAACCATAAGGAATGGTTTTCAGCAGGAAGGGGCCATGCCCAGGGGCATTTATATACAATACCAAGAGTTAAAGTTGAATTTGTAGGGAAATTAGCAATTACAATCACATCAGTCCAATGTTTTGAGGGTACTAAGTAAAAACAGTAATTAATCTTTAAGATTTCCTCTGTTCAATTTTCTAAGTAAGATGGAAAACTAAATTAAATCTTGCTTACTGGTGTTAACAGAGAGCTCAACTCATTCCTGGAATCACGAATCAGTTTATGTCCTATATACACCTTTTCTCAATTTAAGATTCTGAAAGTGTTAAGTGTCAGAAATGAAATCTCAACTACAAAAAAAAATTTATTAAGTGTGAAAGCAAAACAGATACATCTATTTAAATATTTTTTACATATTTATAGATAAAACAAACACAAATAATTTATCAAAAATTATAAGTTTAAAGAATAGTACTATTTGAAACAACCAATAAACTATTTGAAAATACCACATTTTATCCATAATTAGGGAATATTATCTCCAAAAAAAATGTAACTTGTACTTTCTTGTGAAAAATATAAGTTTCTTTAGATGTCTGCCAAGATTGTTCAGGAACAGTCCATCTTGCTAAATCTAAAACTGTAATGCCTTTATTGAGAACTTGTTTTTACCAAATAGCTTTAAAAACCACCTGCATTTTCCTTTGGGCTTAGGTGAACTCTGAATGTTCACTTCACTTGCAGACCACAGGGCATCAACATAAACACAAGCAGGTCAGAGGGAGAGTCTGGGGTTGCTTTTCTTCATACGGAGCGAAGGACCTTCTCCTTCGCTGGGTGGAAGACCATGGTGTATTGTGACGTCCAATCCACGGCACAGGGCTTCACCAAGCCGAAGCAGCCACACTGAAAGAAATCTGCGAGGTTCTGTGTGAGCCCAAGGCTGCCAAGGAAGGAAGAGAACACATCTTACTACATTTCCTGTTTGAACATTCATTCAGACCAGAAACATTCACTGAGAATTTATAACATACAACATCCTTTGAAGATCCTGTAGCAGGAATCCAGAGGTGAATCAGACAGTTCCCCGGCTTAGAGGACATTAAAACTGAAGCCCAGTTCCATTTCTGGACCTGAATCCCTATTTCGAGATTCCCTGGCTTCTGCCCAGCAACTTAATTCCCTTGAGTCCCCCAATCACTGGAATGGTGACTGCCATCAATAAGTGTCCTTCTTTCCATTCCCTTTGCACTGATTCGCATTTTGATGACCTCAAAGGCCAGAAAGGCCAGAAACATTATAGTCAACAAAGTGGGTTTTTTCCTAAACTTCCTAAGTAAAACATGGCCCTGTCTCAATGCCTTCCGATGACTGACTGAATGATCGATCGATCGACTGACTGATTTTTTATAGTCCGGGGGTCTTTTGTCTTTTTTTAGACCTATCATACCATGAATTCAGAGGGAATGGGTTCCAGCAGCTCAGGCTCCTTTCCACTGGTTCTCACAAAGTGCAGCACTTCTCTGGGTGGAGCAGGCTGGCCCTTCAGTTGGACCCAAGTACCTTTCTCCTTGGCTTCCTTCTTTTTCTGATCATTTTCCTTCACATGCTTCAGGAAGCTGTCTCAGCTCTTTGAGTGCTTAATAAGCTCAATGCGTACATTAGTTCTCTTGGCAAGAATCTTGCCCTTGTGTGTTTACGACAACAGCATGCTGGGTGACACTGTAGACTCTTGCACTTCTGCCATGGTAACACTTGTGGGGCGTTGTTTTCTGAACGGTGCCCATTCCCTTGATGTCTACAATATCACCTTTCTTGTAGATTCGCATATATGTGGCCAAAGGAACGACTCCATGTTTTCTAAAAGGCCTAGAGAACATACAGTGGGTGCCTCTCCTCTTTCCCTTGGTGCTGGTCATTTTGGCGAATTACTGGAAGATGGCGGTTCCAGGCAAAAGGAAGGAGCTCCTTCCAATTAATCTTATCAACTGGATACTGTCTGGTCCTCCAAAAACCTTATCAAAACCAACCCCCGTATGCATTAAAACATATCTGTGCGTGAGGAGGACTATGCCATTGCTGCTGTGGGGACAGTTGTCAGGAAAATACCAGCAACACTCCTCCAGAGCTAGTGAGTGAGTGCAAGTAACTTAGGGTAAGACAGACAAGACAAATCTTCAATTTGGGCAGGTTTGTGGAAGCGAGATGCAAGGGAGCTCTAAGGCTTTCCTGCTAGTTCCTCCAGGGTATGTTGCCCTTACTCAGTAATTCCCAAACATGCCCCAGTTCTTTCATCTCAGGCCCTTCTTTCGGGCTCCTTAGGGCTTGAAATACTCTTCTGTCCTTCTCCGTCAGGCCCCATCCCACAGCTTTCAAGGCTCAGCTGAAAATTCCACCTCGGTCACAAAGGCTTTCATCCTTATTCCTCTGGTTAAACTACTGGGAAAGGGTTTTATCCTTGCCAGTCTGAACCCGTCATCACAAGCTCAGCACCACCGGCCAACCTCCATCACCTTAGCCATCTCTTCCCGATTAAGTCAATTCCTCTCCTCTCTAAACACAGATCATAGTCCTATCCCAGGCTCTGATTTCCTTGTCTAACAGCCTAACAGTTTCATCTTGTACCATGAGTGTGCTTTAAAATAGACTACTCATGAGATATGCAAGTGAGCGTTAAATCCCCTGAGGGCTCAGGGTGACCTCTGCAGCACTCCCAGCCTCCAAGACCCCGATATGTAGGACAGGGAGATAAGCTTCAAAGCCCGATCATTCATAGTTCATATCGTAAGATGACAGCCTTCCTAGAAACACTCCCATTTTCAACTGAGAACAGGTTTTATACAACCGACGCCCTGGAGCAACCACACCCCAAACCCGAAGCACTAGGTTCTCCCTGACACAGATGGGCACATTAAACACGGGGCTAAAAGAATTACTAGTGATAGAAAAGCAGGTGGAAAATCTTGGCAAAGCTCACAATCTAATGCTTTCTGCAGAGAGCCTTGTGGCTGGAATTCTCAGCCACATGCTTGGTTATCTCACACTGACTTCATGCCAGCAACATGCAATCTTGTGACCATGTGGCTTGACTAGAGAGATTCCCCATCTTGGCAAAACTTCAAAGTCACTTAACTATTGGTGCTGAGTCCAGCAGACTAAGTCCCAAATTCTTACCACCTTGGGGCTCATGACCTTACCACTCACCTCCTGTCACTGAGGCTTCCAAGAAAGAAGAGTCAACTCCACCAGACAGCAAGTTAGAGGACAGCAGCACAGCCTGGGTGGTGGCAGTAGGCTGGGAAACCAATGGCTAGACTAGCATCCTCCACAGGACACAGTGGCCAAAACAGATCTGACTTACTTGTATGGGGTCCTCCTGAGGGACAATGTCTGTTTCATATGCCTGCTCTGCTTCAGCAGGCTGGTTCTTTCGTGGGAGGTTAGGCCCAGAAAAGCAATCTGCAAAAGAAGGTTGGAAGGTACATGAAAAATACCATTATACTGAGGTTCTGTCACTCGTAGTGCATCACAGGACAGTGGTAAACATTCAGTACTCCTCCGAAGACAGTATAACCTAGCCTTCTGTCTAACCAAGGATCATGGTAAGGATAACGACTCAACAGCTCTAAATGAGACTAAGTAAATCTAGCAGCTGATCATTTTTTTAAAAGTTTATTTATTTTTCAGTAATCTCTACACCCAACGTGGGGCTCAAACTCACAACCCCAAGATTAAGAGTCCGATGCTCTTCCGACTGAGCCAGCCAGGCGCCCTTAAGCATTTATTTTTTTGAGTGTCTGTTTTTATTAACCTTCAACAAAGCACAGTCATGAAATAATTGCTTTAGTAATTCAAGTCATGGCTTAGAAGCCTGTTTAGATTCTCAACACATGTAGCATGTAAGTTTTAGATGAATAAAACTATATAAGGTCAATATTACTGCAATTATCTCACCTTGCGTATGCTTCTTAGCATCTCTTTGGAAAGGGCCAAATGAAAAAGTTAATCTGAAGTGAAGAACATTTAAATCCATAATTTGGGGAAGGTAAGAGTTAAGGTAACTTAAAAACCCCCAAGTCATTAAACCCTACTATTCACTGAGTTACTCCATTTAATCCTCAAAATAACTCAAACATCAAGGTCCTTATCCATGAAACAGAGATTATCACACCATCCTCCCTCATCAGACTGTTGAAGGATTTGACATGATATATTTAAAACAGCCAGTGCAGAGGCTTCCAGAGGTGAAGTAACTGGTCCAAGGTCACACAACAGCTTAGAAAGTGGCAGAACTGAGACGGACGCCTCAGTCAGTGTGAGAATAAAGTTCACGGTCCTGACCAGTCTATGCTCCGTTTGACTTGCTACAGTCAAACCCATGACTCACTAGAGCAGTCAGCAAATGAAAGGCTTCAAACAACTGAATTGTTTTATTAAGAAAACAACTTTACCCTGAATTCCTGTATTAGAAAACTATCCAAAACTTTGAGTCCATTTTCTTGCCTTAGAAAGTATAAGAAACAGGGGCGCCTGGGTGGCTCAGTTGTTAAGCGTCTGCCTTTGGCTCGGGTCATGATCCCAGGGTCCTGGGATCGAGCCCCGCATCGGGCTCCCTGCTCCGCGGGAAGCCTGCTTCTCCCTCTCCCACTCCCCCTGCTTGTGTTCCCTCTCTCACTGTGTCTCTCTCTGTCAAATAAATAAATAAAATCTTAAAAAAAAAAAAAAAAGAAAGAAAGCATAAGAAACATTAAGCTTTCTTTTAAAAAGTTGATATTATAGTCTCATATGTATCTGTACTTGTCCTAAGAGTACAGAAAAGAAGGAAGAGAATTAGAAAGGAGGTCTCAAATCTTTGGTTCTACTTCTAATCTCACCTCTCGCCAGCCACGTGGCCAAAACAAGGCACTCAACCTCTCATAGGCTTAGTTTTCTCATCTATAAAATGGAGACACTGCTTTGGCACAGTCCATGCCCTAACTGTTTGTCAGCAAATAGACAGGAAAGTGCTTTGGTATATGTAAAGCATATATAAATATTAGGTATTACAAGATATTAACAATCAGTGATGCTAATATTCATTCTTCGTGCCTGAGTCTGTAGATACCAGAGGGGCAGGAGATGAAGATGAACATTCAGAGGCCTCGGTTTAGTGTTACCAGTTTCATTCCTTTCCTTAGCATTTTTTCCTTTGTCTGTCTTTATTTCTTTATTAATTATTACTATTATTATTATTATTATTGTAGAATTGGTTACTTCCCTGTAAAAGTGGAATGCATTTTGCTTTCGATGAGTAATGCTCTAATTATCTGAGGTCTTACAGTAATGGGCTCAGACTGATCACGGCTGTCCATTCCACGAGGGCAGGCCATAGCAACAAGAATTAGGTTACGCTCATAGAGGAAGGAAAGCAGCAGGGAAAGGACAGAGCTTCATAGGAAGCTGAATGTGGCTACTGCCCTGGAGCGTGAACTCTCTAATGGCCGTGACCTTCTCTGGAAGTGTAATTACCACGTCCACTGGTTGGTGATGGATCTCGCATTTCTTCCCCCCTTCTATCCACTTAACCACTGCATAATAAATGGGATATAAACAGGGTTGGAAAAAATGAGGGAAGATAATCATCTCACAAATGTCTTTAAAAGCATCTCACAACGCTTTTTGTATTTTATATCATGTTTTCACACACCTTATGATTTAATTGTATGATGAAAAAAGCCTTTGAATAGGCTGTCAGAAGACCTAAGTTTATAGTTCTGATTTCACTACTCACTGAGTGATCCTGAGCAATTCAATTCACCTCTCTGTAACTCCATCCGTAAAATAAAAAGGTCAGATTAGATCATTCCTAGGCACAAGATAACAACTTATTATTCCAACCTTTACACGATCCTGTGAGTGTAGAATTATCAACTCCATATTACAGACAAGGAAATTGAAATTCAAGAGTCAAATGACATGCCTATACCCAGAGAGTAATCGACAGGTGGAACCAAAACCCGAAAGCCTTCTGATTTAAAAGTCAAGTGTCTTTTCTACCTTGTTACAGGCTACTGGAAATTTTACTCAAAAGCATTATAAGAAGAGAAATAAATACCTGAAAGAGTTGATTTAATAATAAAAATGTTGACCAAGAGAAATGGAAAGCTGCCAGCATGAAGATATATAAAACCCAAGGGGAACAGGCCACAATCTGATTGAGGTAGGTCCATAGTCCATCTTCTCTGAATGTTGTGGCACAATGATTTGACCAATCTGTGAATTCACAAAAAAAGGAACTTATTATTTAAAAAGGCAACAAACTAGTGATCATTCTTCAAGAAGATAAAATCATTGCTCTTCTATTCAGGCAGAAGAGAAAGTTAAGACATGGTAACACAGACTAGAACCCAACTTTAAGAATTTATCTTCCAAATGCCAGCTTAACTACCAAAGATGAAAAAAATGGTACTTCACTGCTCGTGAAGGCCATGATAGCATTGCACTGGTGGTTGGCAGTAAAGGAATAAAAGCAAAAAAGGTCCGTAAGACCACCACTAAAACCATCCTATTCAGCATAAAATAAACTGGCCCAAGGTTAACCGTTCAAGGACCTGATAATGGAGAATAGCTGTATTTAATAAATATCTGCTTAGAAAACCCTTTATCTTATCCAGGATACACAGCAAGAGATGAGTCTGTTATAGCACAGAATAAACTCTTATTAAGGGTTCAGATCAACAGGCCACTGCTGTAGACACAAGAAATCCTGTAAGCACCCAGACACCATTGGAACACGACCTAACAGCACGTGGTTATTGGGTGTATTTCTGCAACAGCACCATGATTTATCCTGTAGAGAGAGAAAGTTCAGGTAAGGGAATCATGAGAGAGACACCCTAGGAAAAGAGAGGACTTCACTATGGCCTTCGTGACCCCCTAAGCCATGCAGCTAAGAGTAGCAGTAAGGAGAATGCAGGTAGGTAGAGCAGGAACAAGGGAACCAATCTTCAAGGTTTTGTGAAGCCAATGACTTTGGTAGTACCATGACCATTTATAAAGGGCAAATTATTTTTGAAATAAGAACTCTGTAAATTTGCACCTTGAGGTTTCATTAATGCCTCTGACAATTTGACAAGTAGCTTCAGACATCTTCCCAAAGCAGCACTTAAGAACTCCTAGGACAGAAAGAACATGAGTCCCTGACTACTATCACCTGTCTGTCCATTTTAGTCTTAAAAATCTATTTTTCCCCCCCTTTTAAGTCTCCTTTGGTTCCTAACCATCTGTCATGACTATATGTCAGAAGCATTTTAAGGACAATCATCACAGAGTAGTAATCAAGGCAACAAGTTAAGGCAAATTATGCTCTCTTTAGAGCTTCTCGTTAGGACAGCAGAAAAAGATGCATCCCATGCACCTGACATGACAAAAAAAGAATATAATTCCCAACAGAAGGTAGAGGAAACAGCTGCTACATGGGAAAGAATATTTACATTCTTCCAGCTTATAGATTTCTACTGCTCTCTTCCGGGAACTTTTTTGATAATACACCATGACCTCAAACTGAAATTTTCATAGGACTGATTTCAGACTTAATGTCAAAGATATGGCAACAAATGGCCACATACATTATCTTATGCAATATAAAACTTTCATATGTGCTAATAATACATTCCTGTCACTGGCTAATGACAGGGGACTCCTACTGTTCCAAGCCGATCGTTTTCCTCTCTAGATAGCTCTGACAGTTATAATGTTCTTTCTAACAACAACCTAAAATCTTTCTCCCTGTAACTTGTAGGAGGCTGACACTTTCTGAGTGTCCACCCTGCAAGCAGACCTCACAGAAGATGGAACAGATGGAGGCTACAAAGAGCCAGAAGTAGCTGTCACTGTCTCACAAGCGAGGAGTGCGCCCGCCAGGGCTCCAGCAACAGGAATGTCCCTGGGAAACCACGAGGGTGGGGTGAGTGAGACCTCTTTAGAAAAATGAAGCACAAGTTCACTTTTTCCATCTGTGAGGTAATGATAAATGACACAATGTCCTCATTTAGCATAAAGAAATACTGTCGGAATACAAATGGGATAAAAATAACCAAATGCGTTCAGCTAGTCTACAGGGTTGCGAGTGAATATAAAGTGGGACCATTCCTAAGAAACAAAATACAAATATTGGATCAGAGCCAGAGAATAAAGACAAGAGGGAAGAACCAATGCATGTAATAAGAAAGCAACTCGGAAAGAATGGAAGTGATGGAAAATTACCTCTGTCCTTATCAATACAGTCTTATGCTGGACATGGACACCAAACAAAGGTGACTATTTTTAGTGAAGAGAGAAGCGGGAGAGACAAGAGCGGTGTAAAATCTGGCTCCTCTCCCTGAGGATCAAGTCCAAGGGACAAGATGGTCCATGGGCCAGCTTAAAAAGGTTTTCCAGGAATATGTTTTATTGTTAGGCCTTAAAAGGGCAGTTCTTTCAATAGAACTGTCAAGAAATCTTTTATTTCTTACACCACAGGACATAATTTAAGGTTTTTGAATTCCAATGCTCAGGAGTACGGATGGCCTTTGACAAGAAAGGAGATCAGGGATCTCAACCTTCTGACTATTAGATCCATTTGAGATAGTGACGGTCACACTGAGCTTACAAAAGCATTCCCTACTGATCACAGACACCCAAGGTGTCAGACAAGAAAGGGGCTGACAAGGTAACTGAAGCCCGTTCCATGCCTATGGCAGGGTGAAAAAGAAACCAGTTCACATAGATATTAAGCATCTTTAAAAATGAAACCCCAAACAAACCAAAACTTGTAATACTGGATGTTTCTGGGGAGGGGAACTGGGAGGCTTAGGGACAGAACAGGAGGATTTATTTTCAAAAACTAAACAAAATTTAAACTAAAGAAAGCTGGGGGCCGGGGAAGGCAGGGAGGGGTGGTACTTAGGATGCTAAGGGAAAAAGAAAATAAAGTAGAAAAAAACGTTCCTAACATCTTCCTGAACCGTTCCACATTTTAGCTCAGGATATAAACTAGTATACTACTGGCAAAATCTAAGACCTGAGCATGTATATAACAGGAGGGTGGGTGGAAACAGATTCGTAGTGAGGGCAGATTCACCCAGAGCCTTCAAAATAAACAAATAATAAACAGTTAAGGCCAAAATAAACTACATGTGCTATGGGTTTTCCCAGTTAGGTTTGCGAAGCATAGCCAGGCAGTTGTTAAGAGCTAACCCAAATCCTTCTTGCTTCAATGTAAACCCTGTTCTTCTTGGTCAATCACCTTGGAACAGCTGGATGTCACTCCCTACATGAGCCCCCTACATGCCTGTTCACGCTGCTACTGAGAAGTTATTTTCCCTTCTCAGGGATGCAGAATAAATGGTCTAAGGTTTTCTTCCAAGACATTACTTCCAAACTCTCAACGACTATTAGTTGTCCCATTAGCCCCGTGACAACATTCACCAAATGGCACGGACGTTCAGGCTTTTGTTCCTTCCCTCCTGTGATCACTTCCTCCCACCCTCAACCTCTCCACTGCCAACCTGTTCTTTTTCCTATTTTTTTTACTTCTCACTTCCCTAGCTTTGTTCCTGAGCAGCTAATTTTTCCTCACTTCACTAGGTGATAAATCTACACTCTGCCTTGAATGAATTTGTATTATTGACCACTTCTCAAATTCACCAAGGTGAGGTACAATCTCTTGCCAAGTGCTAACAACTAATCTCTTTGAGCATTTCTTGCAGCTTCCCAATGCTGAGTCTTAGAGGCAGCCGTTTCATTTTAATTAGGGGTATGGTTTATCGTCACCCAGTCAGAATGTGATATACAAGAATTTACGAAGAAAAGTGCATGTGGGTATGGGTTCATGAGCTTGCTGTAAGAAAAATTTATACTTACAGATAATAGATTCATATATAATCCAATCACAAACGATGGAAAGGAAAAATAAGAAGAATATGTAATAGCGATGGTTGCCAAAACCTACATCAAAAAGAAAAAACATATTTAACACTTTCTTACAATGATTTTCCAGATCAAGACCTTATTAACCACTTTCCTGTCAAAAGCCTTCACCAAAGTGAAAAATAAATAAGCTTATGCTTTGCCTTTAAATATCACTACATCAAAACCAAACAGCTCTGGTATGTCAGGGTCAATTGTCCATGTTAGCTGAACTAATATTTATTTGTTGCTTACCTAAAAGACATCGTTTTTGGACAGAACAAGATTTACTAGACACATGCAGCTCTAGGATGGCCTATAACTGCACTGGGGGAAGGTGAGAAAGCAGGACTTTGGGCAAACCATACCCTATCTCTTCCTTCCATGTAGCGAGTTTAGGAAGTACAATTTTGGAACATCAAGGATCCACTTGATCAGGGGAATAGAGAAAATGAATCTGAAGAGCAGCAAATAGATATGGACTCATTACTGCTGCTTTTCCACTTCCATTCAAAGCTGCCTGCTATAATGCTAACCATCCCATCTTTACAGTGGGATGGGGTCAATGAAGCTTGGGGCCGTAAGAATTACCTCTTCACCTACTCTCTAGGAATAGTAGAGAACATCAAAATGCACCAAAGAAACCCGACTGTGAAGGAGCCTTTTGTTCAAGATTTTTTGAACGCACTTCCTCTGCTGAAGACAAATGACCATAGTTCCTCTGCAGTTCCTTATAATAAACCCCTGGTTTTTACAGTGACCACTCAGAGGAAACTCAGGACTACAGACCAGGACGAGGAATACTCCCCATCACCTCTGGTTCTGACTCCTACCTGAGCTTTGAAGGAGGCAAGTGGAGTAGTAAATGAGAGAGACAAGGCACAAAACATGGCAGGAAGCTGGTAATTTGGTACAGAAGACTGGGATTACTAAAGTAACCTCAAGCAAATAATTTACCTTTTATATTTTTTCACCTCTAAAATGGAGATAGTAATACCAACTCAAAGGTGTGCCCTGATGATCAAATAGGATACTATATTCAAAAATGCTTTATAAACTCTAAAATACTATACAAATCTCATTCATTATTATCAACACTGACAGTTTTCCAAAAGTGTTAAACCGTGAAAGGATTCTCAGATAAGGAAGAGCTATAAAATGGACCCCTTAGATGCCCTTCCATTTTTTCTATGAATCACACCCATAGCTAAATATATGCTTAACTTCATAGTGTTAACTAAAAGAATTCAATCTCTCACCTATGCACCGTCCAGTCCACAGACAATGCTGATCATATCGAGCGACACAGGAGTTACACACGTGGCAATGAAGTGACCTTAATGGCTTCCTTATCTAAGTGGGCAATTAAGACAGGTCTAAGCAAAAATTAGTGTCTTAAAGTGGTAACAAATCACAAGCAAAATCGTACTCCTAAGTCATAAAGACATGGGCACAAATAATCCTAAATAGATCATCAGTTCACACAGAGGCTCTGGAATGCCTTATTAATATTTACTTCCAAACATCTATTTTGATTAGGCCTTCACTAAAAGGGATTTGACTTCCAGAGCCTATTCACACTGACGAAGGGGAAGTGAGGCAGTACCAGGCGGCAGAATGAGCACTGGATTAAGAAAAAGGAAAAAGGAAACCCAAGTTACATTTCTGGCTCTGCCAATAATTTGAGGGAAGTTACCTCCTCCCTCTAGGCCTTGATTCCTCGATGGCAAAATGAGAGGTTTCACTAAGTGGTTTCTAGGGTCATCGTGAGCCTCTGACTTGAAGTTAGTTCTAATACATGCTTCATGGTGGGAAAAAGCAATCAAAACACACTATGGATCATTCAGAGAGATTTAACCATGGGCAACTTCAAGAAACTATAAACATCATTCCCTCATACGCTCAAGGCAGAAAACTATTCCGATAGTAATACAAAATTAGAACCTGGTAAAAACGAAGGTGTACAAATATACCATGAAGATTTAACAAAGGCTTACATGAGAAATGTCACCAAGAATTTGCTTTCTTACTATGGGAAAAAAAGACTCACAAGACAGGATGTACAAAATGTTCTGAAGTCCAGACAGCCAGTCTCTGCAAGGGTGATGATATTCTGAAAGGCATGAAATTTGACCTTATGATTACGTTTTACTAGGGAATGTATAATGCATGGTCATATACCATTCTCACAGCTCTCTCTCCAAACTCAGGTAGCCAGAAAAGCAATGTGGAATACTTGCCACCAAATCATCCTGTACCCGAAAATAATGACTTTTCAAGGCTGCATTTTCAACCAAAGCCAACAAATTAGAATGCACAAAAATTACACCTCCCCTTCGCTCCGTTGAAGGGCTAGCATCTCCCAGTTATAATCTGGTAGAGAAAAATACATACACACATATACACTCATAAAAAACAAAACAAAACCCATCAGTAGACACCAGAACTGATGGTTATAAGCACCATGGGCTTGTCTTTCAGGAACACTGGCTAGAAGTAACACAGACATCCATACTCTCCCCGACTTCCTAAACATTCACAAGCAAAGGAAGCCATGCATGGCAACTGACAGCTTCACATCTGAGGAAGAGAAGGGCACCTCTTGTCAATAAGGACTCCTCCCTTGCCCCTGCCTGCTTACTCTCCATGTATTAAACTGGGGGAACTTAAGCTAAATGATCATTATCTCAGCGTTACTATGAAGAAATCGAGATCATGTTTGCTAACAGAAATTATGTTTGAAAAAGTCTTGGTGGGTATGACCTTAAGAGAAAATAAAAATATTTTTTAAAAATTTTTACATAAACAAACGAAAGCATGACAGTGGAGAAATCTCAACTTTGTTGATGTATGTTGCATCTATTATGCGCCAGACATGAGAGATGCAGCCATGACAAACACCAACATTGCTATGACCTCCTTATTAAAAAAAAAAAAAAAAAAAGTAACATTATAAAGAAAGCTCACCATTTTCCTTTCTTCTTCAGAAGCTTTGGTGAAGCCTGGATCTGTTGCCCAAGTCTTGTAGAAAAAGTAGAGGAAGCCTATTATGCTGAGAAGGAAAGCAAAATAGAAAGGGGTGCCTGCTAGATGTGAGAGCCACGTTAAGGAATGTATCAGCTTCCACTAAGAACGGTATAATTATGACCTAAGCAAATTTCATCATTGGCGCCTGAGAATCTCTCTGCATTATATCCTCACTTTCCGTTATGTATACACATCCCTGCCCCCAAGCCTGGCCCCATCCTATGTTCTAATCCTACAGGAATTTGCTCACAGTTGCTAATAATTAATCCCTCCCGATTAGATAAAACTCATGAAATATTGATAGGAATAGTTGCAATGTATGAGGAACATCCTGAGGACTGAAAAACATTCCAGATCCAAATAAATTAATCCCTCATGATGTAACTACGGCTCTCCTGTAAGCATTGAAAAGAGTATTTATTGATCATTTAAAAAAAAAACATTCAAAGAAACAAACCACTTGATTCAGAGATTCCAACTGAAAATATTTCTTTATACATTAGATAAATGCTTGCAAAACTTTCCTAATGGAAAGTTTAATAACGAATCCTTGTCATGTATTAGGCTGTATTAATTTAGAAATACACACAAAAAAACTGCTCTCTTTGCAAAGTAATTATAAATCAAATACTATTTTGGGAAAGGAACATATTACAGACACAAGATAAAAAGTATTTCAAGGATAAACATTGCCCATTTTGAAATGGTATAAATTTTGTATAAAAAGTAAAATTTTGCTCTAGGGAAAGATAAATGAAGGTGCACTAAGTAATAAGCCAATACACCAGTAGTAAACCAATTCTCCTTGCCCAATTTAAATCAGTATCAACACGGTAACTGTATCTGCCCTCCAAGGTATTATCTTTTTTTTTTTAAGATTTTATTTATTTATTTATTTATTTAAGGGGAGAGAAAGTGAGTGAGCACAAGTTGGGTGGGGGGTAGAGGGCAGAGGGAGAGGGAGAAACAGACTCCCAGGTGAGCAGGAAGCCTGATGTGGAGCTCGATCCCAGGACCCTGAGACTATGACCTGAGCTGAAGGCAGATGCTAAACCGACGGAGCCCCCCTAGGCGCCCCTCAAGCTGTCTTGTGCCAAACTCTGGAGTTGAAAAGATGGCCATAAGGAGCCTCTAAACCCTTGCTATTTAAAGTGTGGTCCGTGGACCCACAGCAATGGCTTTACCTGGGAGCTTATTAGAAAGGCAGAACTTTAGACCTCACCCCAGATTTGTAACCAGACTCTGGATTTTAACAAGATCCTTAGGGGATCCACATGCACATTACAGTTCAAGAAGCACTGCTCCAACCCACAAAAACCACCAGTAGCAGCAACCAGAACATCTGGTTCAGGTAGGCAGGAGCAAACGTTGCTGGTTAAATTTATCAGTTTGTCTGCAGAAGGGCCTGGCTTTAAGAAAGAGATAGGATCAGGGCGCCTGGGTGGCTCAGTCGTTAAGCGCCAGCCTTCAGCTCAGGTCATGATCCCGGGGTCCTGGGATCGAGCCCCACATCGGGCTCCGCGCTTGGCGGGAAGCCTGCTTCTCCCTCTCCCACTCCCCCTGCTGGCGTTCCCTCTCTCGCTGTCTCTCTCTGTCAAATTTAAAAAAAAAAAAAGAAAGGAAGAGGATCTACAAGAGTTGTGTGAAATGGAATTGCAACAAATAAAGCTTACTTAGAATGAATTAAGAACACTGTTATAGAGTACGTAAGTCAAGACCTTTAAAGAAACACATCCTGCCTTCTTCCCATAGAATCTTGATCAACGCACATGACACATCCTCAAAAATACATTCAGCTGAATCATATGATTCAGCATACTGAGCTGACCCAACTCTGGGCTCCTGTTCTAAATAACTTTCAAAACCAATCCCAGAAGAACTCACTGGAGCCCCTCTCTCTCCAAGTAAAATGAATGCATTCTATCTCCTCTCATAAAAGCCAAACGTTCCTTGCTTCCATGCCCTTGCTTTGTGTGGTTCATTAACTGCAAATGCTCCCCACTGCCCCCATCTACTTCCAGAAGCACACTTTGAGGATGTCCAAGCCCTAACTACCCTCAAGACCTAACATATTCTACTTCCCCTTGAAGGTCTTTCTTGATTGCCTACAGAGAATTCTTTCCCTTCCCTGAAACTAAAGATGCTTGTTCTGTGGTACTTAGACCTCATACACACCTCAGCCTCCCCAGTTAGCTTGTGACTCTTTGCAGTTAAAAAGTCTCTCAATATGGAACTGAAATTTGCCTTTCTGTAACTTGGGACTGTTTTTCATTCCATAGATCCTGTAGCTCTACACTAAAGATCTATACCATAGCTGTCCCTAGATCTACCCTACAGAAGCTATTCCTCATTTTTCAATACTATTTTTATTCAATGTCCATTCCATACAATGCACTGGCTTCCGAATGATAGACTTCGGAACACGTGACACTGGAGGGCAGTGCTCACACCTCCAGGATAAGCAGCAACCTTGTTCCTTATACAGTACAGTCTCCTGGTCATGTTCTGCTTATGCTCCTGTTTGTCTCTGTCTCTCCCAAAAGAACAGAATTCAAAACAGAGCAAACACACTTCAGGGTTGTCCTGACCAGCGCCGGAGACAGTGTGACTGCTGTTGTCCTTTGCAGGGACACTCACATCCTTGCACTACAACTGGAGAATACAGCGGCTTCCATGGCAGCTAGGTCACTCCCTACACAAGGCTTTTAGTCAAAGCTCTTACTCTTTCACCTGAACTGAAGCTGGGTCACTCCCTCCACAACAAGCCAGAAGCATCTGTGCGTCACCATTTCTGAGTCTTAATCTTACCTCCAAACGCAGCAGTAAGGTCCTATCTTTTCCATTTGATCCTGCCTCAGAAAAGCCAAATACATTAATGCTGAACATATAAAAGGCACCAAAAGGAAGTGATCTTCTGAGGAACCAACCTAGAGCTCCCCTTAAAATTAACTTCAACATGCAGCCTTCCACACAGATTTTATTCATAAGAGTAATTACTAATGAAATAGGTATTATTTTGAAAATGCCTATTATGCAATGGGGCCAGCATTTTACAGACATCATAGCATAATAATCCTTGCAGCCATCCCATGAACTTGGTACTCTTATCCCTCAGGGATTTTTTTAATAGCAAAACTGAGACTCAGAGAAATTAAATAATGTGCCCAATGGTTCGTGACGAGTCAGAAAAAGAACCAAACTCAAACTCATTCTGTCTGATTCCAAAGATGGTACTCTTTCCGCATTGCCCCAGACACTCTTCCCGTAATGGACTGTGGGAGGGGAAAGCTCCCACACGATCCAGGCTTGGCAACCTGAGACAAGATTAGTCTATATACTCGGAATGGGTCTTTACAGGGTAGCACCTCAATTCATACCCAGAGCAGTTCAAACAGCATTTAACATTCAGCTCTCAAAACACTGATCTGACGGCAGAAGTACGCCACCTACTTACTGGCATGTAGGTACTCACCAGCAGCAGGTTCACATGGGTGCGTGGATCCAAGGGCTTTCTGCTGTTCATGCAAGGAAAATATCCCATCCTGTCAACTCTGACATCGTAAGAATCTGTCTAGCTCTGGAAATCAATTCTTCTGACTAATGGCATCTTCACAAATGGTGAACTGCTTGTAATGCAACTCACCTGAATACTAAGTTCTGTAGTTGAGGCTCTCAAACTACAGCGGAGTTAACATTCTTGTTGCTATTACTTCTGCAAAGTTGAAATAATTCAATACGAACAGTATCTCACTTTTTGTGCAAAAAGCGAAATAATGTGAATTGCTCAAATCTTAAAAATTCATCAAGAAACACAATTTTAAAACTGTGTTTACTCCACGGCCACATGGGTCGGTAAACAAAAATACCAGCCACCCCTAAGGATCATGTCAATTATCCCAGAATTTACCAGCCTGGGGATTTCTCCAAGTGATTTTGGGTGTGTATCGTGCTGTTGTTTTATACACTCATGATTACTTATAAAGCATTTTTATATCACATAGTATCATCCAAGCCTTCATTAAGCAGTGGTCATAAGGCTAGTGCTTAAAAAGCTGCCCCCAAATCAGTAATCATGAGACAAAGGCTATATGTAATGACACCTTTGATAAAAGTCAAATGAACTCCATGGTATGCTGCACCATTCATTTACATTAAAGAAATCTGAAAAATGTTAGAGATAATGCTCAGAAACAAAAAGCATCACTGAAGTACAAACATGCTATGGATGAAAGGAAATGTATGCACTCTGAGAACTCATCTGCCTCTCTCACTTTACATTGATTGCCATGAAAAAAATATTGCTGAATTGGGTATATGCATCTCTCCCACAAACACCATTCTTTCTTTTCAAAAATACCATTACCAGAAAGAGACATAACACAAGTTAAAGGAGTATGTTTACAGGTACATTTTTATCCACCACATTCCTTCTTCCCCTACCCTATAAAGCAAGCAAGGTTATAATGGCTTCCTAGAGTCTCTGCAAGGGGAGAGAGAAACCTGGAAAGAGGTGGGAAGATAAAAATCCGACAAATGCCTCCCTCTTAATGGGAGATATAAATAGCTGTAAACCAAGAAGTATGCCCTATCCCCACTTCTATGTGACTAGGCTTGGTCGACCCTAAGAGCACAATACACCCCTAAGCTGGTCTTGGCCTGAGCCTGGCTCCTCAAGTGATAAACCTATTTCTTAGAGAAGTTTTTTTTGTTTGAAACCATGGGCTGCCATCCGTTAGTTGGCCATGAAAGAATTAAGTGGGCTATGACCAGCATTTTTTTTTTTTAAAGATTTTATTTATGGGGTGCCTGAGTGGCTCAGATGGTTAAGCGTCTGCCTTCGGCTCAGGTCATGATCCCAGGGTCCTGGGATCGAGCCCCGCATCGGGCTCCCTGCTCAGTGGGGAGCCTGCTTCTCCCTCTGCCTCTGCCTCTCTCTCTCTCTCTGACTCTCATGAATAAATAAAACATTAAAAAAAAAGATTTTATTTATTTATTTGACACAGAGAGACACAGCGAGAGAGGGAACACAAGCAGGGGGAGTGGGAAAGGGAGAAGCAGGCTTCCCGCCGAGCAGGGAGCCCGATGCGGGGCTCGATCCCAGGACCCTGAGATCATGACCCGAGCCGAAGGCAGTTGCTTAACCAACTGAGCCACCCAGGCACCCCTGTGACCAGCATTTTTTTAAAAAGAAGGAAATAGAATAGGATAAAATAACAAAATTTCAGAGTAAAGCACACATCAGGAGTATCAATTTTCTGTTTCACATACGTTTTGGGTGGCAATATAAAAGTGTTTTTACTGTGGAGTGAGACTCACCGCTGTAGAGAGCAACACTGTGCTGACTGCTGAGGAGGACATGTTTCCCCGAATACCCCTGCCATACAGGCCATCTTGGTACCCAGAAGATTTAGTAACTGCCGACCAAGTTAAAAGAACCATTTGACCTTGAAGAGAGTATCTCAAGGCAATACAATAAATGTTTATGGGTCCAAGTAAAATAAGAATTCACCCTACTGTTTCTTTCCTGGAAGTAATAAATACGAGACCCTTACCGCTTCCATGGTGTGCTCTGAGATTATTTCCGGAATTGAGAAGATTTTCAACACTAAACATCATCAACCAGAATAATTAAAATGAATACAAATAGGAGTTGCATTCCCTGGATCTCTTCTAATACCTAAATTTCTAACACTGGCATTACTACTCTTTAAAGGCAAAAGGAGATACGCGTTTAAATTTCAGCTTGAAGGATATGAGGAAAGAATAAGATGAACCAAGTCACAAATATCCAAAAAATGGAACTTAGCAGGAAGACTGCTGGTAAGTATACGAGGCTCTTATACCCGACCAAGAACCTGAAAGAAAAAAGGATAAACACATGATGTTAGTGAAAACAAGTACGGTCCATATTAATTTTAGTTCTAAGTCCCCTTAAATAATAACAGTAATAATAACACTCCCCTTAAGTAATGGCAGCAGCAACAGCTTCCAGTACCAAGCGCTTCCTGTGTGCCACTTTCCACGTGGTAACCGAGAGTTCGCCGCCATCTTGCCCCATCTTCCATGAGAAAAGTAAAGCGGAGATGCACGTTCCAGTTCTTATAACTAACTTCTACATTATTTTATTCCCCATAACTTTTTATATGCAATGAATCTTTAGTTCTATTGAGACGTATCACGTGTGTGTTTCTCTTTTTGGCATATTATGTTTTCAAATATTCCAAAATGCAAAAATTGTAAATACTTGGGAGATTCACCTCACATTTAACACGCTTCCTTCCGGAGGATAGCCGCATATTTTAAAAAACAAAACAGATGCACACAACCTTAAGCAGTTTCATCCCAAAACCAGTTTGAGAAGCAGACAGGCGACATAAAATGATCTCTAAAGGCTAAAGGTGGCACTCGTCGTCAGAACGCTAATGCCCTCGCTTGGGTAACAAGCAACGTGGAAGGCTACATATCACTTACTCAAATGGTACTATTGGAGTTTCAAAAGAAAAAAAAACAAACTGTCTTTCATGTTAAATACTCAATATAGTAAATCCATGCATGAACAGAGTTTACCTGGATCTGTTTTAAAATTTATACCAGGAAAAAACAATAGTTGATGACGGGCAGGAAAAGGATTTTTTTAAAAAGCTATCAAGATCATAAGTGTAATTAAGATAAAATATTTCAGAAAAACTAAAGATCCCAAACTTCAGGCACATAAAATGCTGCCAGAGTAGGCCAAATGGAGCCCATGTAACCTCCACAGCATTACCTGTCTGAGCTTTTGCAGCACAAATGTGTTTGACCTAATTAAGTAGTGCAGCGAACTACCTATCCATAAGCGTCTGCTACCACAACCTGTCTACTTCTAACTGGCATCACATAGCAGCCTGGATCAATAAGCAACTGCCCCTGGAGCCTAAATAACAGTAGACGTTTGCAGCTGCCTAGCTCCATGAAACTGGGTCTCTACAGAAGGGTATGAGAGAAATAAAAGCAGTATGGATAAAGCTGCCATATGCATTTGTCTCCCATTTGAACTGTGTCCATATGCCAAGCCTAGCATATGAAGCCCTCGACTCGCTGTCAGCAAAAACAAAAGTTCCATAGAATTTTCGTATAATGTTAGTTTCTACTAGAAAATAAAACCTCTAATGTTCCTATCCTGGGTGAGGAGATACTGCCAGCCCTTTGAAAAAGCAAAAGCAAAAACCCCGAAGTGATGACTGAGACTCCTGGGGATCTGGCTTAAAATTTCCTTTGGCAACTGAGTCAATCTAAGTAGTGGAAAATGAATAAGTATCTCTATGTTACAAGTTTTCTGAATAGCAGACAATGTTAGGCATTTTGTTATTTTTCAGAAAAATAAGTTTTTACTTTACATTTATATTCTAATTAATTTCTAGCCGACTGTCCTGCTCTTGAGTGACCAAGAGTAAGATTCCTCTAATACTTTTTTTTCTCATGACTCAAGCAGCTCATGCTTATTCCAGATAATGCTGGCAAGCAAAAAAGGGCACAGGAATACCGAACACCAACCACACCCTGAAGAGAGCAATACTGTATTTCCTTTTAGATCCTTTTCTATGGATCATCATTACATTTTTCTTTCATTCAGTAAATGAAAATATTGAACAGGAGAAACAAGTTTCCTGCTTATAGGGGCCTTAACACTCCAGGAAATGGTGATTAAGTGCTATGAACGAAATCAAACAGGGTGATGCAGAGCGTTAGTCAGAGACGGTCTAAGGAGGTGACACTGGACCTGAGGCCTGAAGGGTTATGTCTCCTGCTATACAACAACAATATGGTATTGGAACACTTCAGACAAAGAAGCAAGAGCCAAGGCTCGGGGGGCGGGGGGGATGACCTCAATGTGTTCTAGAAATAGAAAGAAGGCAGAAGAGCAGAAAAGGGAAGAGAGGAAAGAAATGAAATCAGAGGGGAGATCGAATCACATAATACCTCACGGGCAAGGAGTTTGGATTTTATTTTGAAGACACAGAAAAGGAACCGGAGGGCTTAAAGCAGGGAGAAAAGACAGAAACTGATTTATTTGCCTTTTTAAAAGACCGTGCTTGATTGCTAAGTGGAGATGAACTATAAAGGGATTACAGCGGAAGTAAGGAGACCCATTAGGAACCTTGGTCTAGGGTGCCAGTGTGGAGATGGAGAGAGCAGACTGACTGGACAACGAGCAGGCAGGACTTGGTGATGGGCTGGATGTGGGAAGGGAAGAATCAAAGATGAAAGTAATCCAAGGATGGCACTCATCATTCACACAGGGAACTGGATGCCATTTTATTGACAAATGGAAGTGAGAAGAGTTTGGGGTGTGGCATGATTATTGAGTAATGTGTGTCAGCCATGGTTCCAACCATTGTAAATGCATTAACCATGAAGCAGGCATTGTCACAATTATCCACATTTTATAGATGAACAAAGTGAGGCGCAGAGAGGTAAAGCAACTTAACGTCAGACTGCTGTGTGGTAAAGCCTGACTTGAACCCAGACAACCTGACTCTTAACCATGATTATACATAATCATGTATAATATTTTCCTAAAAATAGAACCGTATGCAGCTACTATTTTATAATTTCATATAATTTAATTAGGTTGTTTCAACTATAAAGCATTAAGAGCAAAAATAACAAGCTTAAAATAAGTTTAGATTAAGGAAAAACATTCTGAAAAATGGGCAAAAATGTTTCAGGATGCAAAACAGTTACAAAAATCTTCTCATTGTTTACCAAAATCAACAATTCAAAAAGTGAGCTAGGATCTTTATTTTCCATCAATTGCCAGTTCAATCAAATTACTGGGTTGACCAATTTGCTTTCAGCTAAAACATAAGCTACCAAAGCCCTTCCCTCCCACCACCCCTGAAGAAGTCTCTATGTAGTAACATTCATAGCTCAATAAAAACCTATGATTCTAACTAATCGACAACAGAAATAAGTAATCAAATGGAAATGCAATAACCAGCCTTGCAAATACTAATATACACACCTTGGAAACAAAGATGTCAGAAAAAACAATGTTAATAGAAGACATCCTTTTAAAAGCCAAGAATCTGAATTGAAGTCCAGTATGTATCCAACAGCCCACATGGTAATCACAGAAAGCATCAGCAGCAGGAAGAGCTATTAAGAGATTGAGAATTTTAGAACTTTATGGATTTTACATCCTAAGTTTCTAACAATGATTAGTACAACAAAAGAGCTACTTCCTAAATATATAACAATACAACAGCAGGATACAGAGTTTTTTCTCTGAAATTGCTGATTGATAAATTTGAAGTCTGAGAAACCACAAATCTTGGAAACAATCTTTTAAAAGCCTTAGACTCTATAAAATATTGCTTAAACATGTTTTCTTTTGCTTTCTTCCCCTCCAAGAAATGGTGGTCTTTTAGAAAAGTGCTAATGAGAGCTAACATTTTTAAAAACGAATTCCTTTCAAACAGTAATACAGGTCAGAAAGCATAAAGCAAAACAAAGGAACCACACAAAAATCAATACACCCAAGACTCAGTGAGGAGAGTACAGGAGTTCCAGCCTGAACACCAGATGGTGCTAGCCCCTAATAAAGAAGGTCAGAGGGAACAAATTTGCAGAAAAGATGATAGTTTAGGGCATGTGGAATTTCAGATGCCTATGGGCATCTAGGAGATACCCAAGAGGTAGTAAGAAAAAGCAGGTCTACCACCCAGGAGAACATTTTGTACTCATCGGTATACAGGCTGGAAAGCCATGAATGAACAACATCCCAAAGACTGTGTACAGGTGGAAAGGAGTGGAATCTTGGCCAACACAAACATTTAAGGGGGAAAAAGCTAAGTCATCAAAAGTCACCAAGAAAGAGTGACCGGTGTGACCAGAAAGGCAGGATGAGAACCAAGAGAAAGGTCCCCATGAAGCCAGAGAAGAGAGTTTCAAGAAAGGAGTAGTTCTCAGTTGTCAAATGTCACACAGAAGCCAAAGACTGAATTAAATCCTCAGGATGCTAATCATTCAGGTTTATTCTGGCAAAGTTAAGAATGAAGTATCTATGGGACACCCCGGGGTGGCTCAGTTGGTTAAGCGACTGCCTTCAGCTCAGGTCATGATCCTGGAGTCCCGGGATCGAGTCCTGCATCGGGCTCCCTGCTCAGCAGGGAGTCTGCTTCTCCCTCTGACCCTCCCCCCATCATGTGCACACTCTCTCTCTCATTCTCTCTCTCTCAAATAAATAAAATCTTAAAAAAAAAAAAAAAAAGAATGAAGTTATCTATGAACCAACAGTGTGACTGACTGCACTGAAGCTGGGCACCACACAGCTGCAATGCAGGTCCCTTAACTGCAATATACATGACCTTGGAAGCCAGTAGGGCTTTTGTAACGGCAAAGGGAGAAAACTTATTCTGCCCTATTTTCTTTGATTTTTACTTCTCTAAGTATTCTGAACTATATGTAATGCTTTCAAATGCTTTCAAATGCTTTCAAATATTTAAAATCCTAAATCTAATTTGCATGGCAATATAATTAGCAAGTTAGATTTTTTAAAAAGTAGTAAACTTAGAATCTACAAGCAACATACTCTCGGAACAAAACTATGAATTAAATATGGATCTCAAATTTTAACCCCAGACATTAACACTCCTAATGAGCCACAGTATTTATTTACTCAATAACTATTCCAGTGCGTACCGTATGCTGGGCACTGTTCTAGGCACTTGGGACACATCATGATTTAAGATCTTTCTCTCATGGAGCTTAAATTCTAGCAGAAGATGACAGCTAAATGTACTAAGTGATTTAATAGTACATAAATACCTCGATCACACAGAGCCTTATAAGTCACTGTAAGGACTTTGGCTTTTATTCTGGGACAAAGGGGGAGATATCACAGGATCCTGAGCAGACGAATGACAGGACCTGCCCTACATTTCAAAAGATTCATCTGGCTGCTCCGTTAGAATGGACTAGAGGTGAGTGGGGGCAAGGAGATGTCAGACGCCTGCAGTAATCCGCATGAAAGGTAACGGTGGCTGGACCAAAATGCCACTGGTGGAACACTGACAAGGGGTCAGACTCCCGGATATAGACTGAGGCACAATTAGCCAATATGGTTTTCTAATGGACTGGATACATGGTGTGACAGGGAAAAGGCAAAAATGGCTGGGAAGCCCGAGAAGGGAAAGGCTGTGGATGGAACAGTTGGGGAGGAGTGGGGCAAAGACCGGGAGTTCAGTTTTGGGTATGTTATGCTGGAGATGCCTATCAGACATGGAACCGGGTAAGTAGGCAACTGGATATACGAGTCTGGAAATATCTAACTAGAGATAACTTTGGAAGCTGTCAACCTGTACATGGCATTTAAAGCCATGGAAGTGTACTGGGGGGGCCTGGGTGGCTCAGGCGGTTAAGCATCTGCCTTTGGCTCAGGTCATAATCCCAGGGTCCTGGGATTGAGCCCCACACTGGGCTCCCTGCTCCGCGGGGAGTCTGCTTCTCCCTCTCTTTCTGCCCCTCCCATTGGTGCTCTTTCTCGCCCTCTCTCAAATAAATAACTAAAACCTTTTTAAAAAAAGCCATGGAAATATATGAAATCACCAAGGGAATCACCAAGGGAATGAATGGATTAAAAAAGAGGTCCAAGAACAAAATCCTGGGGCACCCTACCAACAGGGGGTAGGAGGGAAGCAGAGGAGCTGGCAAAGGATACTGAGGAGTGACAGTTAACTTCTTCCTCTCTCCCTCCATACATATGAATGCCAAAATAGGTGTGGTATTTGTGATGACCCCTGCATAGAAATCTGGTGTCTGTGAATTTAGAATCCTTCTGAGGATATAATTACTAATCATTATTAGATAAGATGATGCCATCTGTCATATTTGAAAACATTAAAAATAGTAGAATTTCAATTATGTTCACTAATATGACTGAGATTTTTTGGGCCATTCACGAGAACAAGCTGAACATCCTAACTTTCTCTATCAATTCACTTTCACATC